AGCACGGAGGGACACCGGACTCATCCCGTGACTGGGTGTGAGGAGGCAAAACCTGGCAGCGCACGCGAGAGCCTGGCAAGCCCCAGCACGAGCAGCCATCGCCTCTCTGCCCACCCTGCCGCCAGCACCCTGGCAAAGCTGCCCGCTCCCTCAGCTGGGGTGATGCCGTGTGCTGGCACGGGGGATGCTGGTTCCACTGGGGCTGCTTTGGGTCACCAGTGGGGCTGTTCTAGGTGACAGCCAGGGCTGCCGCAGGGGTTTGCAGCTGCCCCCTCTCACCGAGGCTGGCAGTGCTCAGCCTGGCTGACCCAGGCACCCCGCCATTTCCTTCTCTCCCCTCTAATTACACCGTCTGAATCACTCACGTTAAGGCCATTGCCCTTCACCGCCTGCCTGGCCACCGTGCCCCACATTGCGACCCCCGGGGGCCACCCCAGCTGCAGCACCCCGAGTCCCACGCACCCACCCAGCCCTGCCGGGATGCCCCAGCACCACCGCGCCTCCCTTCGCTGCGTCGGCACAGGGGCAGCTATGCTGGCCCCACCCTGCCGCCCCGTGGGTTTTTGGTTTCCCAATGTAGGAAGGAGCCCAAAGCCGTGCCAAAACCCCCACGGGGGTGTCCGACTCATCCTGCTTTGCCGGCATTTCCACTGGGAATAAAGCCGCCCGTCCTGCTGCTGGGAGGGCAGAGGTGCTGCACACTCAGCAAGGTAAGGATGGATCCGGGCTCGGCACCTTCAGCCGCGAACTGGGAGGGACTGGGATGAGCTGGGACAAGCTGGGATGAGGAATCTCTCTCTTACCCTGACAGTGAGGGCTGCGACCAAGTTTAAGGACGTGGAGCAGCCCGGGGTGCCAGCAGAAGTGGCTGGGGGGGGCGGGGGGGGGGAGCTGAGGGATCCCAGAGGCTGCCAGAGGTGTTGCCAGGTGGATTCACCGCGGCACGACAGGGTTTAGCTTCCCCTGGGACTGGTGAGCTGGCAGACAGCCCATGCCATCTCTGCGGGCTGCTCTGGGCAGTGCCCACCATGGCACACTGTTGCATGCCGGGACTTAGGAAGGACCTGCATGTTTTTTTTTTTCCTCTATTCCCAAATCCAAAATAGTTTTCCAAGTTCCGCTCCCATCGCTGCATTCCTGTGGCTCAGCATTCCTCCTGGCAGGATGGGGATGGTGGCACTGGCACTGTCCCTGCTGGCTGTGGCTCTCCCATGCCTGGCCACCACCACGCTACGTGTTGGTGCCTTCAACATCCAGGCGTTCGGTGACACCAAGATGTCCAACGAGGGAGTGGCGGGCATCATCGTCAGCGTGAGTGCAGCTGGCGCCATGCAGAGACGGGCTATGCGCTGGGGTGGACCCAGAACATGGCTCCTGTGCCGGGGGGACTTGGGGACGTGGCCATGGATGGGATGGCATCCCAGCGCTGGGGATGCCCTGGGTGGATTAAGCTTGGTGGGGACCAAGGTGGGGCATCAGTCACACCTCGTTGTCCCTCTGAGCCCTCTGTGGGGACACCTGCCCTGGCACCAAGGGACACATGGGTCCCCATGGTGCTGCACTCAGCACCGTGTCAGGCTGCCCAGCTGGGGGGTTGGTGAGAGACAGTGGCCCTGAGCCAGCAGCAGGCTCCCTCTCGCCATCACCGTCCCTCTTGGCTTTGCAGATCCTGCGCCGCTACGACGTGGTGCTGGTGCAGGAGGTGCGTGACTCTGACCTCAGCGCCGTCACCCAGCTCATGGAGCTGCTCAACAGGTACGAGCGGGGCTGGGGCTGAAAGCACCTGGGCTGACACACCAGCATTAGGAGGGAAAGCCAAGCTGCCTGAGCAATAAAAGGCAAAAAAAGCCATCCATCAGCAGAGGGTTTGTTTTCGGAAAGGGTAATAGGAGAAAAGTGCTGGGGCTGAAGCTTTGAGCAGGCACTGAAAAAGCCACTGGGAATAATCCGGAGAGGGGAAGTGCGATACAAGTGGCACAAAATCCCTCTGAAAGCTGCAATCCTACCGGAGCACACAGGATAGAAAGGAACTACAGCTTTGGCAAGATTCATCTCCAAAATCCAACAGGACAAGGCAGTGTTGAAACAGAGGATGAAGGGGACGGGGGCAGGCAGCCCCCAGTACCCCAAGTCCCTGTGAGTAGCGGGGAGACCCTGGGATGGACCTAACAGCAGACGAGGCTCTGAAGTGAGCGGCTCAGGCACGCCAGGAGGAACAGAGACTGCTGGGCTGGGCTAAAACTGGCCACTGCAGGGCCACAGCCCCTCCGCCGGCTGGGCACTGACCCCATTTTGGGTGAGGGCACAGGCTGGGGCTGGGCGGAGGCTACTGCTGCCTTGTTGAAAGGCGGCGAGTGCTTTGTCTCTTCGGCGTCCCCTCCAGCACAGCCACAAAACAGCCAGGGCAGGGAGAGTGACGCCAGGCTCCGCAGGGCCCCGGGTTGCTCATTAACCTAATTTAGGTGCAAATTTTGATGCAAATGAAGGTGAGGAGCATCCCTGCAGAGAAAGGGGTGGCAGGAGCCGCCCCATGTCCTTCTTGTGGCCGGATGTGCCCGAGGAGCCACCCCGGTGTGGTGGGGACAGCAGGGTGGCTCAGAGCACTACACCTTGTGTCACCCCATGGCTGGGGCATGGTGGTGCATGGGGACAGCAGAGCAGGACCAGCTGGTGCCAACCCCATGGCTGCCCAGCCCCTGGCCATGCCAAGGCCACCCCAGGATGGTACTAGCCATTTCACCAGTGCCAGCCATGTCACCATCCTGCCTTTGTGTCTCCGCAGCGTGTCCACGTCCCCGTATGACTACGAGATCAGTGGCCCCCTGGGTCGGGACAACTACAAGGAGATGTACCTCTTCATCTACAGGTAATGGGGCTGGGCATGCTGTCACCTGTCCCGTGGCAGTGTGAGGCCACTGACACCATGGAGGGGACACAAGCCCCAGGGTCACCATCCCTTTGGTCCCACAGGACAGATGTTGTGTCCGTGGTGGACACCTACCAATATGAGGACCCCCAGGATGTCTTCAGCCGGGAGCCATTCATCCTGAGGGTCTCAGCGCCCCACACCAGTAAGCGGGGGGACAAGTGGCCCTAGGCAGTGGCACAAGCTGGCTGTGGGGCTGACATCCCTTTCCCCTGGCAGAGGAGTTTGTGCTGGTGCCGCTGCACTCAGCCCCGCATGATGCCGTCGCCGAGATTGACGCACTCTACGATGTCTACTTGGCCATCGTCAGCAAGTGGGGGACTGACGTGAGTGCCACTGGCTCTGGGGGTGGCACTAAGGGTGGGCGCTGAGCCCTGGGGACCATTCAACCCATCCCGGATCCCCTCTCATGGGGAGCACGGCTGGTGCAAGGGTGGTAGGATGGGGACCCTGCTCCTGCCCCATCCCCTGACACAGGGGACGCCCCGGCACCCAAGTCTGACACCCACGGGACGGCTGGTGTTGGGGGCAGCTGTGTTCCCCAGCCACCACGAGCCCTGCCATCTCCCCACCACAGAACATCATGTTCCTTGGGGACTTCAACGCCGACTGCGCCTACGTCCAGCCGAGCGACTGGTCGGCCATTCGCCTGCGCACCAGCGACATCTTCAAGTGGCTGATCCCCGACGGCGCCGACACCACCGTGGGGAGGTCAGACTGCGCCTATGACAGGTGAGCGCTGCCGCGGCACCACCGTCCCCCTCCCTGGTGCCCCAGGACCTCCCTGCCTGTCCTGCACCACCAGCGGCAGAGCACAGGACTGACCGCCTGTATCTCCCTGGCAGGATTGTGGTGTGCGGTGCCAAGCTGAAGAGAAGCATCGTGCCAAATTCAGCCGCCATCTACAATTTCCAGCGTGCTTTCCAGCTGGAGCAGGAGGAGGTGAGCCGGGCTCACAAACCCGGGGCTCAAACAGGCACCAAAGCTGAGCAGTCCCAGGCAGCGCCGGCTGCGGGGCTGCCGACATCTGTTCAGGGTTAGGTAGCCCGGTGCAGCCACATAGCTGCCGCAGTTAAGTATCAGCTTAAAAATGGAGTTGAAGCAGCCCCAGCAGCAACCTGAGCTGGCTCCACCTGCGGCATGTGTGCCTGCCTGCTGGGATGCCAGCACACCCCTGTGTAAAGCACGCTCCCCGCCCGGGACATGGTACCCTGTAGCCAGCTAATGGGGAGCTCAGGGTGACGAGGGAGCCATGGATGGAAACAGGACGGGGGATTTGGGGTCATTGCCTGTCCCCATGGGGAAGAGATGAGATGCATGGGGTTTTTCATGGCCTTTCATGGGCAGGACTCCAGGGGTGGGGCAACCCAAGCCAATCTTCAACCACCTATAGCTGGCACGGAGCTCCCAAGCTAGACCTGGCAGTCTCAGAGGGCAAGTGCCCCCTGCCAACAGCCGCCCCAAACATTTCTCCGTAAGAGATGCCAAAATTGGAGCCTTGTGTGTTGAGCATCTCGGGGTTGGGGACATTGCGTCCCCCTCCAGCAGGCAGAAGGTTCTGGCAGGGCAATCACAGCCGCCCTGCCGGCCTCAACAGCATGGTAAGGGGCGAGGGGCTCGCCGAACCCGTGTTACACCTCCTCACCTCTCACCCTCCTCCAGGCCCTGGCAGTCAGCGACCACTACCCGGTCGAGGTGAAGCTGACAGCTTGAGCTCCTCCTGCAGCCGCAGACCACGATCCAGCTTCAGCTCCCACCACTAACCCCTGTGAAGGTGCTTCCCGCAGTCCCACCCACGGACCCTGTGTGTGGGCTGCTCCGGGTCCCGGTCTGGCGAAGGGTCACCTCTCACCCTCCTCCAGGCCCTGGCAGTCAGCGACCACTACCCGGTCGAGGTGAAGCTGACAGCTTGAGCTCCTCCTGCAGCCGCAGACCACGATCCAGCTTCAGCTCCCACCACTAACCCCTGTGAAGGTGCTTCCCGCAGTCCCACCCACGGACCCTGTGTGTGGGCTGCTCCGGGTCCCGGTCTGGCGAAGGGTCGCAGCCGGCCACGCCCACACTCCCCCAGCCCACCACAAACCAGAGCCAGGGGACAAGCCACCATCCAGGAAGCAGCAACCACAGACAGGCTGGGGAATGAAGCATCTCCTACCTCATTGAAGACTTTATTGACAAATCTGATTTCACAATTAGCTGTTGGACAGGAGGAAGGATATCCAAGGACCAGGGGGCTCAGGCCACAGCAGTGTCAAGACCCTCTCCCTGTCCGTTCCTTGGGGGAGCTGAGCAGGCAGCTGTCCCCGCTCTCAGGAAAGGCAGCAGTGGTGTCAGGCACTCTACGGGAAGTAAGGGGAAGGGGTGGTGGGGCGGCCATAGGAGCAGGCAGCACATCACCGACTGCTGACACTGCAGACAGCTTCACTGTGAAAGTCTACAGCTACTGCAGCGTTTCGGAGGGTCATTTGAGCTCCTGGGACCAGGCCCTGGGTGGCTGGCTCCTTAGCTCTTCTTCTTCTTCAGCATCTCCATGTACATGCGAAGTGACTTCTGGATGGACTCTTTTGAAATGAAGCTGATGAAGTTCTGAATGTCTTCCTCCCGGTGAGCTACCAGGCGGTCCAACACTGCCTTCCTCATCATGGACTTAGTGAGCTGACGGGCATGGTCTGCAGAGAGGAGAGCAAGGATGGGGAACACGCACGGTCCTCACCCCGACCAGCTCTCAGCCACTGCCACCATGTGCTGGTGCCTCCAAACGGGGAGGGACCACACACCAAAGGGCTCTTTAAACCAACAGGGAGGGAAAGGTCTACGAAAAACCCACCAGCCGGAAGCTGAACTGGATAAATTCTTATACAATAAACTATGATCTGTACCGCTCAGTGGGGAAACGACTGATCTGCTGGGACAGATGACAAACAGTTGTGCAACTCGTTCTCTTGGCGCCCTCCAGAGCCCAGCTCCAACCCCAATACACTACCGGGCTCAGGACAGCAGTACCCGGACAAAATTCTCTGCTATTTGAAACTGCTCTGGCTCTAAGTTTCCCCAACCCCTTTGACTTCTGGCAAGACAGTCTGCTCATGCCCAACACGCCGTACAAAAGCCAGCAGCACTGTCGCCTTGAGCTCATCCCAACAGCCAGCAGCATCCCATCCCTCGAGCAGGCTCTGGGCCTGTGCCATTCTGCATGAATACATGGATGCTGCTGGAGCAGCGCTGGCTGCTGGAGCTGACGGAGGTCTCGAGCACCCATCTGCTCACACACAGAGCCACGTGCAGCGATGCAGCAGCACATCTGTGGCACAGATGTTGCACGCCTGCTCTCAGCGTGCTTCAACCATGACAGTGAAATGATGACCAACCCCCCCCTCCCTGCACTGGGAACCCTGAATTGCTCCAGCATCTCTGTGCTACAGGCGCTTTCACCCGGACAGACTCCTCCTGGCTCTGATTTAGGGCTCTGGGGAAAGATCAGCATGATGCCTCCTCGAAGTCAGGGGAGAGCACAGCTGAGAGGTGCTGCCTGCTCTTGGGGGCTGAGGTGCCACCCTATCACCGGGACAGAACGGAGAGAGCTCTTTAGGGACCCTCTTCCAAGGCTGGGACACAAAATGACAGTCCTGGGACTCATCCATTTCATTCAGATTTCTACAGAAAGGGCAGCCAAGGGGTGATACGTAGTTGCACCTCCCTGTAGTGCTCAGGAGGTGGCATGGGATGGGGTAGCTGAGATCTAGCCCTGGCCGGCGGAGAGCCCTCTCCCAGCCCAGGAACCATATGCTGCCAGTCCCAGAGCAGCCCAAACATGCATGTGATGTCTGTGGTTGCTGTCTGTCCTCACGCCCCCATCACCACCCCCAGCTCAGCAGAGTGCGAAGAGTTGATCCAGACCACAAAGGCGGACTGGCAGCCACCCAGGCACTCTCTCACCCAGCCTGTTCCCTCAACTCCATGGCAGCTTTCCTGGGGTAACACCTCCTCCACTGACAGACAGAGATTGCCGGTATCTGGAGCTCAGGCAGCTCCGGATTGACTCAGCAGGGCTGGCAGGGCAAGCTGAGCTGAAGCCACGTGCCCTGCACACCCAGCACAGTGTCCTCCCACACAGGGGCACTAGCAAGCCCATCTCTGTTAGCCTAAGGCTGCCTGGACCACCGTGCTAAGCTTTCCTACCTCCCAGCCATCCACACCTTCCCTTTAAATGGAAACTGTTATGTAGCTCCCAGGTACCAGCCCCAGTAACTGTCCTTCCCACCCACATCAGATCCCCTCTTCCTCTGCCGGAGGTGCCACCCTTACCGGGAAGGGCCAGCCACTGTGCCATAACAGCCACAGCCTTCTCCTGGAGCTTCTCCTCTGGCACTAGCTCGTCCACAAGGCCAAGCCTTTGGGCCTCGGGTGCAGGGTGAAGGGAGCCCAGCTGGAGGGAGCGCTCAGCAACTCGGTGTCCCACAACATTCACAAATGTGTCTTTAAACCTAGAAGAGATTGGAGGAAAAGCCACGGTCTCCCAGACATGGAAGCTAAGAGCATGCTTGGTCCCACTCCCCAGGCACGGGCCTCTAAACAGCAGCCACAGGCTCAGCCGTGCTGTTCAAAGTCAGGTGAGCAGAGCCATTTTGGGTACTACCCCAACAGAGCTCCCTCTCCGCTCCACAAAGGCTGCTCTATTTACCCTCAGCACACAGGTCCCAGCTGTGCCTGCTTGCTGTGATGTGAAAGCTCTTTTCCAACCGTTTCTTACACATTCTTAGGGCAACCAAGGACCTGTGTCTTAATATATTAGTGTCCCTATGCTTTCAGAGATCTCCACAGCTATGGGATTTTGCAGGTACACAGCATGTATCCAGAGGAAAGCATACTCCCAGACTGAGCCCGACCAGGGAGATCTCCCAGCACTAGTTTTGGAGTTGACTGCAGAGTCAAAACCGAGGTACTCATTGCTGAAGGATGTGAGGACATTCTGCAGCCTGAAAGCTTTGCAGATACCTGCAGGACAGGGCAGAGAAATGAGGTGCTATCTCCTGCAGCTGCAACTACCTGATCACTGGCACATAAAACTACACCTCAGCAGCTAGTTAAACTGATTGATAAACTCCTTGAAGATTAATTCTTTTTAGAGACCTACAGGTGACACTAGAAGCGGAAGGCACTGCCTACCAGAAGGGGGCCACAATGCCCAGCTGGGCTTCATTCAGGCCGATGCTGAATTTGGGGTTCTCCACCATGATCCTGTAGTCACATGACAAGGCAATGAGACAGCCTCCTGCTGGGCTGGACCCCTGGCAAAGAGAAGGAAGGAGGAAGTCTAGGTCATGGTTACAAACGTCCCTGCGCGTCAGCCTGTTTCCTCCAGAGCAGAGAAGACACAAGGTGACAGAGCACATGTCCCCCAAATCTCTGATTACCTGATTCAAAACGGCCCTAAAGAAGATTCCTGATTGGTTTATCAGGGTTTATCCTTTCATTTTTTCAATGCTCTCTGTTTCTTGCATTTTCCAGTCTGGAAATCTAGTTGACTGATCTGTGTTACTTGGGTTGCAAACCCTGCAGTGGAGATTTGCTATGGCATTTTCTTGTAACCCTACCGAAGTTTTTAACCCTACTTGAGTTTGTAACCCTAAATGCCACAGAAACAGTTCTGTCTAATGGCTTTGTAACACCTTCTGTCTATAAAACTTCCATCTGAGACTATCTTTGCAGGACTCGGTGCCTGCTTAGCTCTGCACAGGATGCCTGTGGGACGCCAGAGAACCCAGCTGCCTTCAAAGACAGTCTACGGACAGACACGGAACAGCGAGCTGCCAAAGCGCATCGAAAAATGAAAACAAAAGACCGAGCAGGTAATAACCCATCTACAGACACCGAGATTCAGATGGCACCTCCCTGCCGGCCAAGAACCACGGCTGGAGGAGCAAAACACGGTGAAAGAAGGGCTTACGACAAACCGCACCGCCCGAAGCGGTGCTGCCCGCGGGACAAGCACTCACGGCACCGCATGGCTGCACCCCACCTCCTCCCCTCCAGCGCAGCGGCCAAGCAAGCGACCCTGGGCAGCTCCTACGAGTCTCGTCAGTGAGGAAGCAGCCAGTGGGCACGTGACAGACATCCGTTGGACTCCTCCTAGGGCAGCTGCTCGGCTTCTCTGGTACTCGTCAATGCCCCTCTGGGCTTTACCACTGGCCTGCAGACCTCCTCCCGGTCCTCCAGCTCAGAGGACAGACTCACAGCCGAGTTCTTGGGGCAGGGTAGCGCTCTTGCTGCACACAACACTGCCAAGGGCACCTCAGCCCCCACCGGCAGGACATGAGCGCCATGCAAGCTCTCTGCTGCAGCCAAAATGCTGCTACACCCCAGCGGTGCCTGCAGCTCACATGGAGCCTGCAACATTCCACGCGGCCATACCTTCCCATGCCCCAACGCGCTGAACCGACAGACACGTACTTTGGCCAGACGTCCCAACAAACACATCCTGGTGTTGTTTCAGCACTGACAAGCCTGATTTTTCGGCTGTCCCTGCCCACGTGGTGCAAACAAGCCACGGCAAGTGACAGACTGCGCAGGGCAACTGGGAAGGCGGATCTAAAGGACGTACATTGACTGCAGAGACTGTCACCATGTTGGAGCCATACAGGCGGAGCCACATCTCCTGCACAGCTCTCCAGAACTCAGCGTAGTGCTCCGTGCTCTTCCCGCACATCTCAGTG